TTCCTACAGATGTAGAGCGGGTGCGGAGGTTTGTCGCAGGGTTGCAGCCAGGGATTCGGTTTAGTATGGCTCGAGAGGTGGAGATGGGCACAGGGTATCAACTAGTGGTCGAGATTGCTCGCCGGATTGAGGGGTATCGCCAGAGGGGTAGAGAGCAGATACAGCAGGATAAGAGAGCTAGGTTCTCCGGTGAGTTCAGGGGTGCCCCAGCGAGGGGCAGAGGCCAGTTTGGGAGGGGCCAGTCTAGTAGGCCACCAGTTTCAGCACCACCACCTGCTCGGGGGCCTCCAGCACGCCCCTATTTCAGTGCTATGCCAGAGACTTCCTACCGCCCGCCAGCTACTCAGGGTTCCTCCGGTGGGTATTCAGGTCAGCAGACTCAGACTCCAGGGCAGCAGGCCATGGTGCGTAGAGCGTGCTACGAGTGTGGAGATCCGGGTCACCTGAGAGGACTTGCCCCAGACTTCGGGGTAAGGCAGTACAGCAGGACCAGCAGCTCCAAACTCCGGCACCAGCGACCCAGCCACCTAGAGGTGGAGGGCAGACGGGTAGGGGCCGGCCTAGAAGTGGAGGCCAGAAAGGGAGAGGTCAGCCAGTTACTCCCCAGCCAGGTGGGGGCCAGGCAGCCGGCGCTTCAGCCAGATTCTACGCTCTTCCAGCCAGGCCAGATGCATTAGCCTCAGACGTCGTCATCACAGGTATTATTTCCGTTGGTGGCAGGGATGCTTCGGTATTATTTGACCCAGGGTCTACTTATTCATATGTATCGTCTCTGTTTGCTCGCTTTCTGGTTGCTCCTCCTGAGCCTTTGGGTGTTCCTGTTCGTGTGTCCACTCCTATGGGCGAATCTGTGATTGTGGATCGGATTTACCGGTCCTGTGTGGTCACTTTCTGTGGTTTCGAGACTAGAGCAGATCTTCTGTTGCTAGACATAATCGATTTTGAGGTCATCTTGGGCATGGATTGGCTGTCACCGTATCACGCCGTCCTTGATTGCCATGCCAAGACAGTCTCACTAGCCATGCCAGGGTTGCCGAGATTGGAGTGGAAGGGATCCACAGTTGATATGCCTAGCAGGGTTATCGCCTTCCTGAAGGCTCAGCACATGGTTGCAAAGGGGTGTTTGGCTTACTTGGCTTATGTTCGAGACACCACCGCAGAGTCTCCGACGATTGATTCAGTGCCAGTAGTCCGAGAGTTCGCCGATGTATTTCCTTCTGATCTTCCTTGTATGCCTCCGGATCGTGATATAGATTTCTGCATTGATTTGGCCCCGGGCACTCAGCCTATATCTATTCCACCGTACCGTATGGCTCCTAAAGAGTTGAAGGAGTTGAAGGAGCAGCTAGAGGAGTTATTAGCAAAGGGGTTTATCAGGCCCAGTGTGTCACCTTGGGGTGCACCAGTGCTATTTGTGAAGAAGAAGGATGGGACTATGCGGATGTGCATTGATTACCGCCAGTTGAACAAAGTCACCATCAAGAACAAGTACCCGTTGCCTCGTATTGATGATTTGTTTGACCAGCTACAGGGTGCTAGGGTGTTCTCTAAGATTGACCTGAGGTCAGGGTATCATCAACTGAAGATTCGGGACTCGGATGTTCCAAAGACTGCATTCCGGACTAGATATGGCCATTATGAGTTCCTAGTGATGTCCTTTGGCTTGACCAATGCACCAGCAGCATTTATGGATCTAATGAACAGGGTGTTCAGGCCTTACATTGATTCCTTTGTTATCGTCTTCATTGACGACATCTTGATATACTCACGTAGCCTGGGGGAGCACGAGCAGCATTTGAGAGTAGTGCTTCAGACCTTGCGAGAGCAGAAGCTGTATGCTATGTTCTCCAAGTGTGAGTTTTGGCTTGAGTCAGTGGCATTCTTGGGGCATATTGTGTCCGGAGAGGGTATTAAGGTAGATCCCAAGAAGATTGAGGCAGTTCAGAGTTGGCCATGACCCACTTCAGTGACCGAGGTCAGGAGTTTCCTGGGATTAGCGGGTTATTACCGGCGATTTGTGCAGGGTTTTTCATCCATTGCCTCACCCTTGACTAGACTGACCCAGAAGGGTGCCCCATTTATTTGGTCCGATGATTGCGAGGAGAGCTTTCAGAAGCTCAAGGCAGCTTTGACTACGGCACCAGTTCTTGTATTGCCTTCCGGTACGGGGATGTATACTATGTATTGCGACGCCTCACGCGTTGGTTTGGGATGTGTGTTGATGCAGGAGGGGAGAGTTATTGCTTATTCCTCGCGTCAGCTGAAGATTCATGAGAAAAATTACCCTGTGCACGATCTGGAGTTAGCAGTGATTGTTCATGCTCTTAAGATATGGAGGCACTATTTGTATGGGGTGCCTTGTGAGGTTTACACCGATCACCGCAGCTTACAGCATTTGTTCAAGCAGAGGGATCTCAATTTGAGACAGCGCAGGTGGCTTGAGTTACTGAAGGACTATGACATTACCATTCTTTATCATCCGGGCAAGGCGAATGTGGTCGCGGATGCCTTGAGCAGAAAGGCGGAGAGCATGGGTAGCTTGGCATTCATTCCAGCGGAGGAGAGGCCCCTAGCTCTGGACATCCAGTCCTTAGCTAACAGGCTTGTGAGGTTGGACATTTCAGAGTCCAACCGAGTTCTAGCATGTGTGGTTGCTCAGTCCTCGTTATTGGGGGAGATTAAGGCCCGATAGTATGATGATCCCCATTTGGCGGTTCTTAGAGATACGGTACTTTAGGGAGGTGCCAAGGAGGTTTCTATGGGCGAGGATGGTGTTCTGCGACTCCAGGGTCGTCTATGTGTTCCTAATGTTGATGGTCTGAGGGAGAGGATCCTAGAGGAGGCACACAGTTCGCGGTATTCTATTCACCCGGGAGTCACGAAGATGTATCGTGATTTGAGGCAGCATTACTGGTGGCGGGGGATGAAGAAGGACATAGTGAAGTATGTGACTAAGTGTTTGAATTGCCAGCAGGTCAAGTATGAGCATCAGAGGCCAGGTGGCCTACTTCAGCAGATGCCCATCCCAGAGTGGAAGTGGGAACGCATCACCATGGACTTCGTAGTTGGGCTACCGCGGACTTTGCGGAAGGTTGATTCGGTGTGGGTCATTGTGGATAGATTGACCAAGTCGGCCCATTTCAATCCAGTGGCGACTACTTATACAGCGGAGAGGTATGCTCAGATCGGGAGATAGTACGGTTGCATGGTGTACCGGTGTCCATCATATCAGACAGAGGCCCTCAGTTTACTTCCCATTTCTTGAGAGCCGTACAGAGTGAGTTGGGGACTCGTGTAGAGCTACCGACGGACAGTCGGAGCGGACGGTGCAGATTTTGGAGGATATGCTTAGAGCATGCGCGATTGATTTTGGAGGGCAGTGGGATCAGTTCTTGCCCTTAGCGGAGTTTACATACAATAACAGCTACCAGTCCAGCATAGAGATGGCCCAGTACGAGGCTTTATATGGTAGGCATTGTCGTTCTCCTATCGGGTGGTTCGAGCCTGGTGAGGCTAAGATACTTGGCATGGATTTAGTACAGGATGCCTTGGATAAGGTAAAGTTGATTCAGGAGAGGCTTCGCACAGCTCAGTCCAGACAAAAGAGCTACGCGGATCAGAAGGTACGGGATGTATCATTTATGGTGGGCGAGAAGGTTCTCTTGAAAGTCTCGCCCATGAAGGGNCAAAGGAGAACCATTGTTCACACTTGCCATCCTCGTAAAGAAGCAAAGAAAGAGAAAGAAGCCATGCCGACCATCCAAGGAAGTCAAAGAGAAAAGTTAGACTTTGTGGAAACATCCTATCAGAGTTGTGGAAACATCCAAGAAGGGCTCACATCCGAAGAGAATGCTCAACTTCGCCTAGCAAAGTTAGAGGCCTTGGATGAGAAAAGATTAGAAGCACAACAAAAATTGGAGTGCTATCAAGCTCGACTAGCTAGAGCCTTCAACAAGAAAGTGCGGCCACGATCATTCCAAGTGGGAGACTTAGTCCTAGCTGTTCGACAACCTATAATCCTCAACAAACGCATAGGCGACAAGTTTACCTCAAAATGGGATGGGCCATATGTTGTGAAGGAAGCCTATTCAAGTGGCGCATACAAAATTGTCGATAAGGATGGTCTCAGAGTTGGTCCGATCAACGGAAAATTTCTGAAGCAGTACTTTCCATGAAAGTCACCTACGCTCCTCGACGTACGAGCCTAAACTGCAAGTCATGATGCTCCTCGACGTACGAGCCTAAACTGCAAGTCATGACGCTTCTTGATGCATGAGCTTAAACTGCACGTTGCTACACTCCTGGCCCGCATGAGTCTAAATTGTGTACGGCCAAAAAAAAAATCTCATCCCTCTGAACTACGTTATGACTTGATCCTCTTCACCGAGGTACGTAGGCAACTTAGAGTTTCATTCTAAGTTCAGTCACATGAGTTTAAAAAAAAAGGTTTGGCATCATGGGATCATCATATTAATTCTTTCAAATTTAAAGGCATATGTAATTGAGGAAAAGAAGACAATTTGGTGCCAAGGCATAAAAGATATTTCATTACTTCAATGTTGAAAGAGTTATGTACATCAATAAAAGCAGAATGAGACATCATCTTATACAAGGAATCTAAAGTTATGTAAATGATTGAAAGATAATCATGGTTGCCAACTCATTCGTGACTTCTCCATATGATGGATCAGCCTTGATGGCGCGCCCATGACATTAGCAGCTTTCATAATCCATTAACTACGTGTCTTGTTGTTGAGTCGTGGGCGCAATGGTCTACTTCTTCTTTTTTTGAAGTTCCCACACATGAGCATGTACCTCACTCTCAAAAGTTCCATCATTAGTGAGCACCTTGGGCAAGCTTCACGGATATTAAAACTTCAAGTATACACAACTTTTGGGAAATGAGTACTTCCACATGATAGTCTCTCTGCAACAAGTTCGTCTTTTGCATGAAGATTTTGCTTGTCGATTGTTGATCGAAACATTAAAGTATCCACATCTTGTGTACCTTCTTTATCTGAGACATTTTGAGCTCCTTCGCAAGTCTGCAAAAGAAATAAACAAGGAGATAAGATTCATGATGATATCTAAATCCATTACAAGGCTGTAGAATCAACTTCAAAAATATTTGTTAGGCTAACTAAGAATGAATGGATCCTTCATCTTCAACAAGATTTTAGTTCTCGACGTCCGAATTTCATAGGATCAAACTGTTGGTGATTTCGACGCTCCTAGTTCAAGATACAGTTTTTCTGGCCGAAAGCACGCAAACCTGAAAGTTCCCTGCGGTCAGTTCGATTTTCAATATTTTTCTGTTTCTAGCCCGAAAAGAGTTCCGGGATGAAATTTTTATGTGTTGCAGCTCTAGGAGTTTTCTTTCCAACGGCACAAACGGATTGTAATTCTGATACTCCTAGATTAAGATACAATTATTTTCGCAGAAGGTATGCAAATCTGAAAGTTCACTGCAGTTAAGTCGATGTCGCGAATTTTCTGTTGATAGCCCGAAAGGAGTTCTGCCATGAAAATTATAGGTACTTCAGGTATCTGAGTTTTCTTTCTAAAGGTGCAAACGGATTGTAATTCCGACACTTGTAGCTCGATATATGAATTTCTCCACTAAAGCGCGCAAAGCTGAAAAATAATTTCGCGGACAGATGGGTCAAGTTCAGAAAATTGTTGCGGACAATCTGCTAGGAATTCATCTATTATATCTTGAAGATTTCATTATCTCTGAGTCTTCTTTCCAATGGCACAGACGGCTCGCGATTTGGACATTCCTAGCTTGAGATATATACGTTTTGATGATAGCATAGAGTGCAGTAGAGTCAAAATGTCAGATATGTATACCAGCTTCAAAAGTCGACTCCGGCTAATCCTCAAGGAATTTATCCGTGAATTCTTTATAGGATGTAACTTTTCAAGTTTTTATTCTTTCAAAGTAAGAAGCTTCATACTTCATTGCTCCTACATCAAGGAATTAATAATTTTGCAAAGGTTCGCCAAGCACTCGCTCGCCAAGGATGAAATATGGTCGCTCGAGCTCCAAGCCTCTTTCTTGCCAAGTCGCAAGCTGAGATGCACCATGTTCTCCCTCGCATGTTGTAAAGTGGGGATATGGCTCGTCGATCAAGCTCACTTAGGAATACGCTAAATGTCTCTCGTCAAGCTGCAAGAAGGGATGTACCAAGTTGCTGTTGTACTCTCTTGAAAACCTAAAAAAATAAGAAAAGATTTTGGAGCCCTCGGTGCCAACAAGATGACATTTTTGCAGATACGGTGCGAGTAGCACGACGATCAGCTTGATTAATGGATATCGGTGCCATAGCACGACGTTTCTGCTTCTACAGACACGATGCCAGTGATACGAAGCTATTGACCCATATGATTGATTGGTGCCAATGACACAAAGCCTTGATTCAGCAGCAGGTACCAGTGTCAATGACACGATGCTTCAATGCGGATGGTGAGCATTGTGACGTGCACTTCTCCGTCAAATGTCGATGGCTCATACGCTTCATGAACCTACAAAAAAGGAGTGGTGATCATCCCCTTCTTCTCATGATGCATATTGGAGAACTCGCCATGTATATCATCTCCGAGCCTGCAACAAAAAAAAGGGAAAAAAAAAGGAGTATGCTGCCCGAACAATCCTCTTGATTCCGGTGCTTGATTGATCAAAGATTTGTTGCATCTGGATCAAAAGGGCTGGAGCTTCGACGTTTATAGATGTTGTATCTCACCGAGTCTTCTTACCAACGGTGTAAACAGCTCGTAGTTCGGATGCTCCTATCTTGAGATATGCATTTTTTTTAGCAAGAGCATGAAAAGCTGAAAAAATCGAGCCAAACCCTTCATTTAATACGAACTCAAACCTCATTTTATCATTTTTCACTCTACACTTAGGCGATTTTGGTGGTTCCAAAGAGAGGGTTTCAGCATATTATTGCAAGGTAAGTAATCTCCTTCCATTATAAGTTAAATTACATGAGTATTAGGTAGATTAAACACTAAAATTTGGTAAAAATCAAGGGTTAGAGCTAGACCTAGGGTTTTAGCAAAAACTAAGATTTAAGCATGGAATTTGTTATGAAATGGACTAGAAATTATATATTATTGATCCTTAGGTTGTAGAGAACAATTTCCTTCGAAAAATATTGGAATCCGGGCGCGCGGGCCCGGGGTCGGAATTTAGAAAACTTGTGGAAAAGGTTGGGAAATTACTTAAATAGTTAGAATTCAGCCTTTTAAGCCTTTATTGACTAGTTCTTACCTATTTTAACTAGTTCGCGATCGTTCGGCTTCGAATTAGGAGCTTGGGCTTGTTCTTGATATCGGGAGCGCGCTTTGGAGCGAGGTGAGTTTCCTTTCTAACCTTGTAAGAGGGAAATGTCCCCATAGGTTTAATAATTGAAGTAGTTGTCATTGTATTCGGGGGCTACGTACCTACTAGGTGACGAGAGTCCGTGCGTAGCAACTATTATGCTAAGTCCGGGTAGTTTAGGACCCATGAGCATGCTTTACGTGATTTTCTAGTATAATTGATTATCTTGGATTTATATGAACCCGTGTGACTAAGAAGAAAGGATTGGAAAATGACCTAAATCCATTGGCACTTTAAAAAGGAAATAATTGGCATCTCTTTGTATAGTCACCCTCATATGCGTATTGATTGTTGTTGTTGCTTGACTATGAGCTTATTTATATTTGACCGCGTCGCATGGATGATTCGCGAGCGGGGTAATAGATGCATCTATAGGCGTGCCTTCGACCCTCGGCAAGTGCACAATTTATTTCTGTTGGTTCGGGCCGTCGCCTCGGTATATTTGCGCATGCTTATATAGCTTTGCCTGAGAATGTTAAATGTTGATATTGCCTTCCATAGGCTAATGAATTGATAAATGTAACTATAGAACTTGACTTGCCAGGATTTTAGTGAGGTTATGAATTACATACCTGTTGTAAACTGTTGTGCATCGAATACTTCTTTATTGTTGAAATCTTACTTAAAATATTATTTGACCCTAGTGAGTATCAAGTCGACCTCTCGTCTCTACTTCTTCGAGATTAGACGGGATACTCACTGGGTATATTTTGTTTATGTACTCATGCTACGCTTCTGTACTTAAATGTACAGGGTTTGAGGCAGGTGGATCTGGTCATTTCTCTGGTGCGCAGTCGTGAGCAGGCGTGGGACTTCTACGGTGAGCTGCTTCTCCCTTCATTGTCGATCCGCAGCCGAAGAAGTCTCTCTTTTGTATTTCTATTTCGGTCTATTTGGACTCAGACAGTAGGATAGATGATATTCTTTTGGTTGTATATTCTACTAGCTGCCCGTAGCTTGTGACACCAGGTTCTGGCACACACTTTAGTAGACGATCATTTTTGGGGTTGTGTAATTACTCTATCGTAGTTTTTATCTCTTCTGGGTTAAATTTCCAAGTTCAGTGTTTACTCCGTGTAGAGTATGTGTAGGGTCACAATCCCCAGTCACAATCGACCCCGCACTCGTCATAGAGTATGTGTCTCGCCTCAATATAGCGTCACAATGTGATATACCGGGGTTTCAAACCCTCAGGTCATCATCTACATCTATTACTCACCTCAAGCCGGCCACAAGTCTAGCTCGCTATGCCTTTGCCTTTCGAATCAACCTCTTCGCACGCCGAATCTGATTAAAACCACAACGAATACATTACAGTAGGCTAAAGAAACATAACCCAATCGAAAAGACTCAAAAAACACCAAAATTCACTAAGTTGGCAAAACCCGAGCCCCGGGCCCGTTCCTCGAAAAATTACAAAATTCACATTATCGGATTCCTCGTCTCGCCACGAGTCCATACATACCAAGAACTCCCAAATCCGAGCTCAAATGACCTATCAAATCCCAATTTGAAATATCAAAAACTCAAGCCCTAGCTTTACCCCTTTTTAATGAATTCCAACCAATTTCCATGTTAAATCTAACATAATCTCGTGAATTTAGGCCAAGGAACTTACCTCTAATCATTCCTCCTTGAATCCCTCTTCAAAATCACCTCAAAGCTCTCAAAGCTCGCTAAAAAATGGTGGAAATAACATAACCCTCGCGGATGAAAATGATATTATAAAACCCCTTCTGCCTACAGCGATTTTCGCTTATGCGGTCCCGCTTCCGCATATGCGGGACCGCT